TGTTTGTTTGTTTGTTTTTCTGTTTGTTTGTTTGGTTGTTTGTGTGTGTGGTGTTGTTTCTTTGTTTGCTTGTGTGTTTGTTTGTTTGTTTGTGTGATTGTTTGCTTGTTGGTTTGCTTGTTTGGCTGTGTGTGTTGTTGTTTGTTTGTCTGTTTTGTTGATTGCGTTTGATTGCTTGATTGTTTGATTATTGAGTGGTTTGTTGGTTGCTTGGTTGGTCGGTTGCTTGCTTGCTTGCTTTCTCGCTTGCTTGCTTGCTTGGTTGGTTGCTTGGTTGGTTGGTTGGTTGGTGGGTGGGTTGGTTGGTTGGTTTGTTTGTTTGATTGGTTGGTCGTTTGAGGGTGCCCCTGGTGTTCTTTTCTTGTCTAAAGGGCAGCGCAAAAAGAAGCCAGCATATTGTTTGCTCCATGTCGCAGTTGGACACGAGCCCATACTAATGTTTGAGGGAAGAAACCTGTGCAAGCCAAATGCCGGTGCTGCCCTGTTTGCGGCGCCAGAATATGTCAACTTGGATTAATCAACCTCATAAAGGTGCTTCCCCAATAGTGAAGAACCAAGACGTGTAGTGATGAAGTGGGCTCCTTTTCTTATGCACTGTTTCTGAGCAGGGAATGGGAGAATGCAAAATAGACCAATCCTTGTGTTTATCCTCGGGGCTCACAAAGTGTTCGCAGCCCAAGCTTCCAATCACATAGGAGGACCCCCAACATGGTGGTGTTTCTCTTGGTTGCATGCCAACCAACCCGAGAAGAGTGCCCTTATGTACCCTCAACAACACACACAAACAAACAAACTCACACAAACACGCTTTGCTCCTGGAACAGGTTAACGAAGGTCTTCCGCAGGTCAAAGCCCTGCGTCTGGTGGTGCACCGGATCCTAACGCGTACTCGACAATGCAGGGATTGACAAAAGTCCCAACGAAAGCCCGGGGGAAAAGCGGAAACCGCATCGGTTAAAAGCGCGCCAACAAGGTGCCAGGCAGTCAGATTCGCCCAATAAAGACTAATTCAACTGGTTTAGATGCGTGCACTTCTCGATGCCAACACCGTTTCATTCAAGAGCCATCATAGTTTGGCAAAAAGCCGGAGGCAGGGGCACGAATCTGTCAAGAACAAGCAACAACTCGCCATCGATCTGCAAGCGTGGTCTTTGGGGCAACCCCCACCAGGCACAAACAGAAGACAAGGAGGTATTTAGTGTGAACCCATTCTTTGGGACCGCAAAAAACGGTCACAATGAGGAAAACGGAGGTATGTGGCTCACTCTCATGGCCGGTGGCCCCTCCTCCAGCTGCTCAGTGAGAGCGTTGAGACCGTAGAAGACGCAGGCCATGCCCACCTTGTGCCCCGAAATGGATTTGCTGCAAAATGAGATCCCCATGTACAGCAACGGGCAGTCTTCTTTTTGTGTCCCTTTAACATGCTGGTGAGTCATCCCCACCAGGCGTGAGCCAAGGTCAACCATTTGCAAAAAGCCACCAAGCGCTTCAGTTTCGGTCGGGCCATGTCTGCTCGTGTCTTGAACTTTGGTGTCGAGAATTGCGAAACAACTGCGCAACTTCGACAAGTTGCGCTGATTGGGTCCGACTTGTGAAGCAGTCTGCATTGGGCCCCATCGCACGTCGGGAGTCAAGATGGGAATGCATCAAAGTCTGGCAACCCTTTTCGAAGAAAGAGGGGATTTCTGGGCGAAGCTTCATATTTAAAAAAAAAAAAAAAAAAAAAAAAAAAAAAAAAAAAAAAAAAAAAAAAAAAAAAAAAAACTCCAAGCGACCGTTTCCCAACATTTTGACAAACAGCATGGGTGTGTCTAACTTGGAACTGGCCCCTTGCACATCCTTGCGTCCCCTTGGCTCCTTACGGCAGAGGTCAAAGCTCCGCAAGCTGCGGGTTCACAGTCACGCTTCCCTGAAACTGGCTCCTTTTTCTGGTGTCCACCCTCAAATCAAGGATCCAATGGAATCCATGACCACCCTTGGGAACCAAGTAACCATTTGTCTCAAAGAAGCTAGCCCTTTGTTGGTCGAAGAGAAGAATGGCTGGTTCACTAAGGCTTTTCTGTGCCCGCGTCTCTTCCTGGTGCAACAAAAACAAGGGACTCCGACCGACGACAGCACTCTTGCGATTTAGTCACGACCTGAATGGCCTTTGTTGGTCAGAACTCGTATTTAGCATCTTTTCCCGCAGGGATACATTGGCCATATTTGGCCGCACGCAGCCCATGTTTGGTCATAAGTCCTAAGTTTCCAGGAAGAGGAATCGGTCGACAAGCTCCAACTGCGGAGCTGCAGAAACCAAATGGAGGTTGGAAATGTGTACTTCCCAAAGTTGGGGAAAAAGGACACCACCCATTCTCAGGAAGTCCGGTTCCAATGTCAAACAACAAAGTGCCGCTTTTTGACCGAACTGGTCGAGCGCCAAGTCGCTGTGGTGGCCCCAAGCACCAGGTTGGACTCGTTACACACCTGGCGCCACGGCAAAAGGATCAACTTTGGTATGTCCTAAAAATAAGGGACGTACGGTTTTGAAAGGACACTCAGAGGAAGCCTGCCAGTCTTTTGTGCACCTATCTTTTTGTAATACCTCAATGTAGCGCTGCCACAGCTCTGAACAAGAGCTGCAAGGTTGCCAAGCGCCAGAGGCCATGAGCACACACGACACCCGGCAACCTTTTTGCTTGGTTGAAGTAAGGGAACTCACCCTGTGCCTTTGGCAATCAGGGAATGCATGGAGAGTCCCTGTTCTTGAGCCGCAGTTCTTTGCGTGGCCTTGCGACAGAAAGGTCAGTTAATGGGCAAGTCTAGAGCGAGTACCTGCAAGTGAATTTCCTTCTGGAAAGATCTTCAACTGGATCCCGCACGGAATGTTTCTGAACAATGCTGCAACCGTGCTGTGGCCAACGCTCTGCCAGCTGTGCGCGCTTTCTTCAATAGGAATCCTTACGCCTGCCAGCCCCCAGCTGAAGCTTGTCTAAACCGGGGAGAGCCTTCCCAAGCTCCATGTTTGATTCAATCATATTCAAACATCGGGACCCCTGCGCCAATGATCGAGCTGCCCTGCAAGGCCCCGGCACACCAAGGGTACAGCACCACGTAAACGAAGATCACCGTCTCCAGCATCCAGCGGAACTGCGAGGTCACAAAGTTCTCCCGGAACATCAGCAAGAAGTCGAACTTCGAAAACCTCGGCTGCTTTCCCAAAATAATGGGGAGCCTTCACCAGTTCTTAGGTGTCTCCACCCAGTATTCATAGGGTTTCATCCATCCCAACTGGTGCAGGTCCATCCACAGCATGTGTCAAAATGGGGAACCCCTTTTGGATGGTCAATCAAAGCAAACTACCATACATTAATGAGAACCAAATTGCATCACCAAGAACAGGTGGGTCAACCGAAACATGCCCTTGTGCAAACAGGTGCCGGCCCTGGCGTGCCCCACATCAGGGTCAAACAGCGAGACAACCGCGTTCTTACTTGTCCCTTCTGAACATTACCTCACCAACAGAAACAAACTCATTTACATCTGGCCCAAAGATACGCTTACCCAAATTAGTGAATTGGATTGGTGGTTTGGAGGTTTGGGACCTTCCCGTTTACCGTCAACAAGAACCAAGGGTCAACATCCCCAAACAAGCAATCCAAAAACCACCAATTTGCGGTAACAAAAGAGAGTCCTAAACAAGGAAATGCACATGGACATCTGTGCCAGTGCCTGGCTCCACCATACGCAGGGACCAAACCGAGGTGCAACAAATGAAGCTCGTCCTCCAAGTTCCGGTGGAAGCGCCGAATGATGGAGATCCTTGGGATTGCGTCAAATCCAGGGCTGCAATGTATGACAAGTGGACGTGAAACTTGCTCGGAATGCCACTGCACATCAGGACCCCCATGGATGTTTGTGACTTAAGACGAGACGTATATGCAATCGTCTAATCCTGTGGTGGATCTTTGATTGTGAGTTGCTGGTTGTGAAGCTTAGCTGTTCAGCCTTGAAGCCCACCCGTCAAGGCCAGAACGGTCGATTTCCCACTTGCAAGCCCTTGTCTCCAATGACCTCTTCTCGGTCCATCTTTAAGAAAAATCAACATGAACCGTTTGCAGGGTCCCAAGATTTGACACATGGGTGTATTATTTTTGAGGTGACAACCCTTTTTGGGGTCGATTGAAAGGGGAAAGAAGACGGAACTCGCCTATTTGGGGGGCTCCCAAATTTGGAGACAACCCACATGCACGGAATCCATCGCAGTTTCGGACCGTCGAGTCTCCCATGTCACACACACACACAGTTGCTTCTAAGGCCGGCGCCTGTCCATCTTCTCACTCCTCGGGAGGCCATGCAAAGGTTGGAAAAAAAGGAAAAAGACAAATAAAAACTGCGATATCCTTAGGGCATGCGTTTAACCACAAGGCAGATTCAGCTGTGTATGCATCTCTTCACTTTCTGGTCACTACTTGTGTCCTCCATATTTTTTCTTAGTTTGCAAATTGGAGAATTGAGGTTTCTCGCACTATCAACGAATGATTGACTTTGTTTTTGGCTTGCATGATATCATGTACTGCTTCGTCTTCTTAGACTTCTTCGTCTTCTTCTTCTTCTTTGAACCAGGAATGCCTTTGGGTCGGGGCGGGGGAGCTGCCGGCCCTTGTTGATGCTCTGGAAAACCATGCATAAAGGGTACCAGGGTTCAACATTGGGCACGGGTGCCGTTTGCTTCCTTTGATTGTTATTTATTTCTTTATGTTTGTCTCATGTCCTGATGCTAGGTTATTAATCCTTGCTGTCCAATCTCATTTCAAATGCTCTTTCTCTTCTCATCTATTTCTTGTTTCCGTCTTCACCCCAACTCCAGTATGGCAATAAGATAAAGATACAACCTGAAAACGAGAGACAGCAGAATCATGCTCTTGTTCATATACTTACAACTCCACAAGAGAATCATTAGGATACGATTTAGAATAAGACTTGGAATAAGAAGAACACGGAGAGGAAAAAGAGGAAGGAGGAGGATGAGGAGGAGGGGAAGAAGAAGGACAAAGAGAAGACAAAGAAGAAGACAACGTATAGGATGGAGAATAGTTCAACAACCCTCACGTGAGCATTTCCATCTAGCCAGGATGACGGAAGCATCCAATCAGGCACAGGAGATGGGAGCTTGTCTCCAAATGAGGGAAGCCCGAAAAAGTGGCTCTCCTCCGATGTCCCTTGAGATGCCCCGTTGAAACATCATCCCGACCAACAAACAACCCAAGTTTGTCCAAGGGGTGATGCTGGAGAAGGCTCAAAAGGGTGGTTCATGTAGCGGTCCACCACCAGTCGGGTTCCATGCTGGTAGATGGAAGGGTAGCCCGGCAACCAGCAGCGATCAATCCCTGCTTTGTAGGGACCAATCCTGCTGTAGCCCAGATTCAGTTTGCTTGGCTAGGATGAAGATACCCAGAATGTCCTTGCTTTGATTGCCCTCCTCTTCCTTTACCTCCCCAAGTGCTGAGGTCCCTGCCCTGCGTGGGAGGTGGCTAGATCCGGATCAAAGAGCCTCAGCTTTTCCGCAGATCCCGACCCGACGGCAAGCTTCCCATCCCAGGATTGCTCTTTTCGTGAGGGCAGAGTGCCTTCCGATCCCAACGCTCGTTCCGAACGTTGGGGCACACCATCGCAGGGTTGCTCCAAACACCATGAAGCAGTAGGGCATGGGGCAGAAAAAAGAATAAGGAAACCAATGCTCTAACCTTGGGGCTTCATCTTTAAGATGCTGGCAAAAAATAATCCGTCTCTTGTTATGTGGGTTTGTTTAAATAAATAAATAAAAAGAAACATGATGAGTCCCCAATGTCCTTCCCAAAATTTAGCCACAGCCTGCTGGCAATTTGATCGAACCTCACATGACCCTTTGTGGTTGATGGCTTGAAAAGGAAACCAAAAGGCGGAGACTATACTCCAGGATCAGAAGGTCCTGCCCTGGTGAAGCGATTGCGCGCTCGGCGGATCGGTATGGTCAGGGCAAATTGCGGTACGCCTGTGCAAGTACACCAACAAACCACAAGGGCACGCACCCCGAGGTGAACGGCTTGGGGTAACCATTTGTCAGAGTTGTCTTGGCCCTCTGTCATGTGCGGGTGTTCTTTCGCAGCCCTACTGCCAAATCGAAGTACCAGCTGCTTGCAAGTTGCGTGGCGTCATTTTCTTTGGAAACCCTTCAGAGTTGGCCACACACACACACACACCTATCGTAGCGAGTTGATGACCGTTCAAAAAAGTGTCCAACTGGCTCTGATAAAACTCCGCGAAATGTGTTTTTCAAAAGCCATCAAAAGCCACAAAACCCTGGTCACGCGCGAGCACTGCTCTCCGTGCATCTTCATGGGTGATGAGTTCCATCTGAGATAGAAGAAAGGACACAAACGCATGCACTCACTAGCTCGCTCATTCACTCACTCACACTCACAGCAACCCCTACAACAAGCGGCTGAAATCAACAACAATGGCATCGGTTCAGAATTTGAAGCGGGTTCCGTTGAGCCAGCAACACGTGAAGATTGCACATCTGCATCTTGACTGGCTTGCCCATGGCGTGCCCCATCCCGGCAAAAAATCCATCAACGGTCGATCAAACTTCTTGAACCCTTGACAATTCGGTGGCACCGGCACACTTCGCCCTTTGTCATGCCATCTGCACCCTCGTGGAAATCAATAGCATGTGGGTGAATCATAATCATGGTTATTGCTCCGCAAATGAGTGGGTCTGGGACAAAACTCGGAAGGCCCCTCTTGCTGGTTTGTGAAAGGACACCACCACACAGCAACCGTTTGGAGGGGATCAAGGCCCCTTTTTGAGAGTGGTTCCGATGCTGCATCGGCCGATGCTGGCCTTCTGAAAGCATCTCCAGGTCCGTGTCCCCAAGTTCAATCATTCTCCCTACTTGACCAGTAGAAGAACGAGCAAAACGGCGTCACTGCCAGCCTCACCCCCCCCCCCCCAAGAAAAAAAACAGTATGAGAAAAGAACAGAACAATGGGGATAGCACCTGGGCGCAGTTTCAGCCCCTGTTTCGGCACTCTGTCTCGGCACCAGTTCTTCTCATTCTCCCAGGAGCTGGTCGCACATCTCCCGCAGGTACAGAAGCAGCGGGCGCGGAGAAATGTGTGCCCCGTGCTTGGCGCGGAGCACGAAGGCCACCTGTCAGGTTCCGGATGGAGCCGGGAGTCATTGGAATCCTCTGGGCATTGGAATCTCTATACAAACCTGAAAAGGAAGTCCGCCGAAGGCAGATTCTTCTGAAAATGGGCGATGGGGCCCCATGAGTCCGGGTAGTGCTGCCTTTTCCCACTGGGTGAAACCCACCTCAGTATAGGTGGTTTATGACTACATAACTTTAAAGGTAATGTCCCTTTGCATCACAGAAAGTAAAACACGTTGTCCAAAACCGAGGTGTCTTCTGAAACAGGGGAATCCAAGATGTGTGGCTTTCTTGGGTTGCCCTTTGAAACAAAGCAGCCCCCCAGCCCACCCTTTGTTGCTAAGAAGCAAACCTCAACACTACTCACCTGTCACCACGGCCAGAAAAAAGACGCTGAGAAAAATATACTAAGCTTCTCAAGCAAATAGAAGTGCCGGACCAACCGTCTCCCTCTCTCAGGCTCACTACTTAGAGACCTTATCTGGTCCTATAAGTTGCTACAACCCCGATTGGGATTGGAATCGGAGGGCCTTTGCGGGCCTTGGCAGACATCGTATCGGTAAGTCCCGTTCAGAGCGCACTTTGAAAAGGACATCCTCCTTTGACAGGTTGGCGCTGTTCAACCATGATCATGGTTATATAACATGTTGAGCCATCGCGTTACAAGCTCACCACGGGCAAGGGCACCCATTGCACCCATATGCGCCCTTGTCAGTTTAGCATTTCTTCCGGGTGGACCACCTTTCTCTTTGATTGGTGATTTAAGCTTGTAGCTTGCAGGCTAACAATACAAACGCGACATGCCCCAGGAACAATTGTTCAACCCTTACGTAGTTGATATGTTGTGTCCTGCAGTTGGAAGGGTGGAATACCTACGGCTCCCTATGCAACCCCAGAAACCCGAAGCAACGCTCTAAGGTATACCTACCCGCAGACCAAGGCCCTGCTTAAATGCACTCCCCGTGGCTGGCCCTTCTGCTAGGATTTCCATAGCTATATAATCGCATACACCATCTTTCCAAACCTAAAACCAAAACAACCCAGAAGCCAAAACCTGAAACCTGATAGACCCCAAAACCTCAAAGGAACCCTGCCCAAAAGAGGGGCCCTAAATCGGTCAGCCTCCCGGAACTCCTCCGGCAAGATCTCTAAGTCCGACGTGGCCTCACCGGCACTGGCCGAGGGAGGGCGTTGGTGGGCAAGTCTCAAAAGCGGGTTGAGTTGGGGTTGGGGTGGGCCTGACCTCCTGCCATCGGTGGCAGAGGGGACAGACGATTCGTAGTCTTGTGGTGGCATTTGCAATGCCAACATGAGGGTGGTACCAAACGGCAGAAACAAATCCGTCGGTGTTGATTGAATATGCTCCTTTGCATTTCCGTTCAAAGGTTCCTTGGTTTGACTGCTACAAAAGGAGGCGGTTGTATCAACTCCTGGTGCCATGTCACAATGTCAATGGTTGGCATTGGTGCAGGTGTGTGGGTGTGATTAAACAACGTTGCGTTCCGACACCGAGTCAAACCCTGGTGCAAGGAGTGGGCCCCAAACTGACAAAACGATACCAAGTGAAGCTGGCTAGTGAATGAGCCCATCCGGCCGCTTTATTGAAAAACATAAGAGCTACGGCAAATCCCTTGCATTGGCGTAACTTGGCAGAAGCAGGGCCTGCGAAAATAGGCAGACCAGCAAGCAAGGTCATTCACTTTACCACACGATGGAATGTAGAGTGCGTTGGGGGGAGGCCTGTCAGCCTCTGCTTTTGAAAGGGTTTGCAATAGCGGAATGCTCTCCACCATATCCCCGTCTTTCAAATGAGAAGGCTCCAAAAACAGATCCCCTCTTGGCCAACATTGTGGAGGATGTTTTTTGGGGGGACCTTCTTCCTGAAGACAAAGTGCAATTGCGGCAAAGCGGGCATTTGCCAGTGGGGAAAAGCCACTAGGAGCATTCAGACTGAAGCCTCAAAGCACAAAGGATGCGGATTGGCGCTGGTCATCAAACAAAACACCCTTCCTTGCTTGTGTCTTCTTTAGGTTTGTAGGTTTCCTCTACCTTCCCTCTGAACTGATTTGGTCTTTTGGGAGACCTTTGAGGATGCTCCAAAGTTGGTCTTCTTTCTCTGGGGTCTGAAATGGTCCCTTCCGAAAGGCCCCGGCTTCGGTTTCCTTCACCCCCGACCCCCGTCCGACGACCTGCTCCGACGGCTCGAAGGGCAGCGCCCAGGCGGCCACCTGGCGCGTTCAGAGCTTCAGTCGGTCGCGCGGTCAAACGACTTCTAGCGCCGACACAATTGTGCCAAACGCAACAGCGGAACCCAGGTGTTGGCAAACTGTGTCCCGCCTCGCGTTAGGTTTCATTCGTTAATGTTTACTCTCCGTTTGTTTGGAATTGTTTACTGCGCAGCTTGACATCGAACCTACATAGTCCAGCGCTGCTAGGGCAATTCCCTTCGCAGGCGACCAACCCCAGACATACAGCTGAGAGAAACCTGAAAGGCAAAAACATGTCCTTTTGGCAACCCCTTTTTGGGTCTTATGATAATCAGAAAGGGGGTAGTCTTGTGTTGGTGTTTGATTTTGGGGGATTAGGTTTAGGGTCAGGTGTTTACCTTGGTGCTGCAAAGTGCCGCTTGATACTTGGTGTCTTGCGCTTCCTGTCTATCTTCCTTGTACATAATTTCCTGTTGCCTGTTTTGGCGGTTTGTGTTGGTTTCGTTTTCCAGTACCGAAACCGACCTCCTGGTCACCTGCCGTCACAGTGCTGGTTTTACTGTGGTTGAGGAAGGACTTTGAGACTGTGAAATGATGGGGCCACCTGCTGCAGACATGACTCGTGAGTCACTTGGAGCAAGGCGGTCAATGTCAGACTTCCCTCATGCTTGTCAACATGCAGATAGCATGAAAAGATCTCATTGGGCAAGATGCGCCATCCACTTTCAAGCCAAGGCAGCCATTTCATGATCCGTCATGGAAGCAAATGCTGTGTGCCCATGGCGTCAACAATGCGGCTGGAAGACATCTGGCCCTGAAAGTGTTGCTCCTTCATGACACGCAGTTGTCCCACGGGCCGTGCTGTTGGAATTGGTGCCCCATGTCTGAAGGTGGGATGCGCGAAAAACATTGCTTAACTATTTGTTGCACGAAGGCGAGCAACCTCCGGCCAAGTTCCAGACATTCTCGACCTCTTTTTTGTCAGAAGCGCAATGCGCTTGCTACGCTTCGACGGCCCTCGAGCCAGTTGCAGGTCGCTCACAACCACGGACTACACGAGGCCCGCACTAAGCTGCCGGATTCAAGCTAGCCGTTCCCAAGGTGGTGTTTGGCAACTTCGAATTTGCCCATGTCCTCCTTGGTGATTGGAAAGCTAAACACAAGGAGCCCTGAACAGACCCAGCTGTCCGCCTCCAAGAAGCAGAACTCCAACATTCGCCGCAGGAGGAACCTGGGAGCCACGCTGTGACCCACAAAGCTAAAGCGAAGTCCCTGCAGCCAACCAATCTTGAGATGAGGCGGCTGCGCTGATGTCATTGTCATCTTAAAGGGATTGCAATGGCTTTCTGGGTGACTCAGGCTTAGGTTACCTTAGGTTCATTCAGGAAGGTGAGATCAGGTCAGGATTGGAATCCTTTCAGAGTTGGCCGGAGGTGGGGCTGAGGCGTGCTTGAGTGGGAGTAGTAGATTGCACAGGTGTCTCGGGATGAGTTCAGGATGGGTTTACCGGGTGTAGAACATTTGTGGCCGGCTTGGGGCGCGCTTACCATCAGTCTTCGGGAGAGTTTATTGTTGGCTTTGAAATTTGGTCCAAGTTTGTTTGGCCTTTGGGTGGGCATGGACAAGCCCAGCCCTATGGCTGGGTCTAGGGTGGCCAAGCCAGTTTTAGTTGAAGGGGGTTGTGCATGATGGAGCTCCCGGCTGTTGTGTGGAAACCTTGTTCATTCCTGCTTTGCTTGCCTGCCTGCCTTTTCAGCCGAAGCAACTGACTCTTGGGCTCGAAGTGGATGAGATACAGCAAGTTCTTGGCGCAGTTCATCCTCAGATCCAAAGCGGAGCCATATCTGGGGGTGCATCCCGCGCTCGTAGATGGGATGAAAAGCACAGAAGGGGAGACAGCAAATGCGGGACAAAGACAAGCTCCTTATGATCTACCAGCACCGGAACAGAATATCATAAAGACACACACGCACAGGAGCTCTGTCGCCTAAGGTGTCTGTGAGATTTCGGAAAAACTGCTGAATCAACCAACAGCTCCCAAAAAGCTTCAAACTCGAAACGAAACCCGACGTTGCCGTCCGCCTTCATGCAAGGCATTCGGTGAGCAAGATTCGGGCCGGCAGCACTTGCTGAAGGAAATTGATGGGATGGAAGCGCATGTCAGGAAATCATCCAGACTTTATTCTATTGAGTTGGCTAAGTTTTGGGCGGATGGCTGGCCATCTAGGAGGGGCTCCCTAAATCTCAGACTCTATGATACGAACACAAAAGCTTGATCTATCTCAGCTGGGTTGAGGTGCCCCCCACTGCCCAAGACAAAAAGACCGCCAAGCCACATGTCCAGAACTCCTGGCGGTCACCGAGGACGCGCTGCACAGAAGCACACAATGTCACAATATGTTCGAAGCTTTTTCAAAATGAGGCCCAAAACAAAACGCGTTTCTGTTGCCCCCGTTACCCCCCCCCCCCTATGCGCACATTCCAGAATTGATACGGTGTCATGCATCAGGTAAACTTGCTGGCAGGAAACAAGTGCAAGACTTCCACAACATGGTGCCCAGATTCCTCCCGGCCACGAGCTTTGGGGCAGCTCCTGAGTTTTCTGTGACCAGCCTATAAAAAAAGGCCAATGTTCTTCGTTCTTTCATGAAGGGGAATGTGAATGTACCCCCCCTGCCCTGGTGGGACACGTGGCGCATGGCACCCCATGGCGCAAGGGGTGTTAGCTGCTTCTGTGGGTCAGGCGCAACATGAACACTCTGGCCCCTTGGAAAAGCCGGTTGTAGCAACAGCTGTCAGAAACTCCGTCTGGGCAAGCGCAACCAGAGGCAACTAGACGCGCTCGTTCAGGCAAAATATCTGAATCCGTTTCGGACCGAAGGCCCACAACCAGACGGCAAGAGTCAAGGTTGGGTTCTTCGACATAAGCTGTAACCAAGTCACTCGCATGGTAGCAGGGACAATTCAACATGGGGACCGCGTCGAAACTAGCCGGAATCTTCCCATTGCTTGGTTTCCTTGTTGCGTCCGTTTTGCCTTTCCATTTCAGTCTCCTTCTAGTTTCAAAAATACCCACCAAGGGGCCTGTACCCGAAATGCCCAGTCCTGCCATCAGCTTCTGGCGCCGCGACACGGCGTTCTTGGCGCGAAGGGAGAGCAGCACCGCCAGAAGCAGACCAACCGCCTGGAGAAGAAACGACGGGATTGACCTTCAAAAGCTGCTATTGTTTACTGGCGGTTTCCGTTGAAAGTTGAAAGTATCTGAGGAAGCGAGTCCAGCACCCACTATGCCCTATGTCCAAATGACTGGTTCAAGCAGAGCAAGCAGTGAGCGTTTGCCTGAAGGTTGTTCCTGCATCAAGTTGATAATCCGTACTTTCTATTAACCTTTCCCTTCAGATGTGTGCCGTGAGCTGGTCCTTTCCCGCCTGCCGCAACGGATTTGTTGGTGTCAAGCATAATATAGCGGTCTAAATGCCATCAATGCTTTTGTGGGGTACTAACGGAAACGCCTGTTTAGGTCATGATGGGCCTAAACAAACGGAGCCTCTTCTGCAATGCAAAAGCCTCATTCGCATTGCAACATTGACAAGTCTTCTTTTTATTGGGCTCGGCAAACAGTTCTCGAACATCATTTAGGACAAAAACGCATACATGGCCAGTGCTTTCTATCAGTCTCCAAACAAGAATTTGAACGGGTGCAAAAAAGACCATTCCCTTCACATGATAGAGCCCCCTCTGGGTTTGGCTCGGGTATCTTCTGGAGGCGTTCGAACATGATTTGACACTGAGATGCCCTGAGCGAAATAGTTCATCACTTTGAAGCTCAATCCTTCAGTGTTGCATCCACTTTGCAACCCTCGACTTTCCTGAACATCCAACCAGTACTGTGGAAACCTCTGCCAGGGTCCCTTTTTTCTCACCACGAGGGTGAACTGGCAAACCTCTCACTTTCGCAGCCTTCTTTGCAGACTTCCAAGCAAGCCGCATCCAGAACGAAGGAATTTTATCAGAAGGATTCGATCTTAGAAGAAACACACACACACACACACTCCACAACAAACAAAAACGAGAGCGACAGTATTTTTCTGGTTTCGTCTTCCTTGAAAGCAAACAAGGTAAATCGCGCCATGTGTGAGATCGATCTTGGTTGACCACCAGGCCGCTGCTCTCACACTGACGCTCTGGGAACTTGGCGGGTCTCCGTTGCTATGCCCTTCAGCGCTTGAAAGATAAATATAATGCCAGAGCAAGAAATCCCAGTATCAAAAGGAGCCAGCGAATGCACTGGGCGCATGAGTCACCACTTGGTCAGATTTGGCCTGTCCCAAAAACCCTGCCTACCTTGTCGAACCAAAAATCGAACCCGGGCCCAGAGGGTGCAAGAATCAACAGACCTGGAGTGTGTTTCCATGAACAGTCTATAGTATCGGGCTAGCACTTAGAATATATGTTACTCCGTCCGATCCTCACTTAGAATATATTTTACTCCGAAAATATCCCAAAACATCAGTTAGAATATTTAGGTTCACAAGTGACACTTAGAATAATTCAGATAGCATACACTTAGAGTAATTCAGATAGAATATGTTTTGTCAGACAGAATATTTCACAGAATATTTCAGCAAGCTGGGTCACAAGGCAATTTCACACACCAATTGATGGCGTCGAAACGTTTGATGGCATCGAGCCGCGCAGATGCATGGGTCAAGGAAGAAGAAGTGAATAATAACAGCAGATGGTGATGTCTCAGATGTCCATGAAGCATTGCTAGTGAGAAATGAGCTTAGAGGGGGGGGAAGCTCGAACGCTTTCACGAAAAGCTCAAAGGTAGAAACTTTGGAGTTGCCACCCCGTGTTGGGACATAGTGGGGTACCCTCAAAAACCAAGCAAACACATATTTACTTTCTCTATATATAATCTGTATATGTTTATATATTTGCATACGATTGAATGCATGATGAAGGTTTCCTGGCCCAAACACACATATTCTAGCTGTGCCACCCCATGGTGGTCATTTGTATTTTGGGCTCGGTACCGTTTGGGGTTGGGTTAAAGGGAAAGGAAGGCCACCCCTTTTTGGAGAATAGTGGGGTACCCTCAAAAAACGCAAATCCATATCTACTATGTATATTATATATATATATATATATATATGTTTATGTGTGCATACGATTAATTGCCTAATGCAGGTTCCCGGCCCAAAAACAACTATTCTAACTGTGCCCCGCGATGGTGTACAATGTATAGCTTCGGCTCGGTACCGTTTGGGGTTGGGCTAAAGGGACAGGAAGGCCACGCTTTTGGACCCTCAAAGAATAAACAAAACAATATTTACTATCTCTATATCTTTCATTATGCCTACGATTCATCACCTAAGGAAGTTTTGCCAGAAACACATATTCTAACTCTGCCACCCCATGGTGTTCATTTGTATTTTGGGCTCGGTACCGTTTGGGGTTGGGTCAAAGGGAAAGGAAGGCCACCCCTTGTTGGAGTGTACTGAAGTGCCCTTAAAAAATAAGCCATCCAATGCTTGCTATCTCTCTCTGTTATATATAAATATATGTATTAAAGTGTGACCTGATGGAGGTTTTCCGCCTCTATCTGTGCCGCCCCATGGTGTTTATGTATAGCTTCGGCTCGGTATCGTTTGGGGTTGGGCTAAAGGGAAAGGAAGGCCACGCTTTTGGACCCTCAAAGAATAAGCAAAACACTATTTACTATCTCTATATCTTTCATTATGCCTACGATTCATCACCTGATGAAGTTTTGCCAACAACAAGTACCATGTTGTTCATTTGTATTTTGGGCTCGGTACCGTTTGGGGTTGGGCTAAAGGGAAAGGAAGGCCACGCTTTTGGACCCTCAAAGAATAAGCAAAACAATATGTACTATCTCTATATCTTTCATTATGCCTACGATTCATCACCTGATGAAGTTTTGCCAAACACACATATTCTAACTGTGCCAATCCATGGTGTTCATGCATATTTTGGGCTCGTCGGTACCGTTTGGGGTTGGGTCAAAGGGAAAGGAAGGCCACCCCTTGTTGGAGTGTACTGAAGTGCCCTTAAAAAATAAGCCATCCAATGCTTGCTATCTCTCTCTGTTATATATATATATATATATTCAAGTGTGGCCTGATGAAGGTTTTCCGGCCCAAAAACACATATTCTATCTGTGCCTCCCCATGGTGTTTATGTGTAGCTTCGGCTCGGTATCGTTTGGGGTTTGGCTAAAGGGAAAGGAAGGCCACGCTTTTGGACCCTCAAAGAATAACCAAATCAATATTTACTATCTCTATATCTTTCATTATGCCTACGATTCATCACCTGATGAAGTTTTGCCGAACACACATATTCTAACTGTACCACCCCATGATTTTCATTTGTATTTTGGGCTCGGTACCGTTTGGGGTTGGGTCAAAGGGAAAGGAAGGCCACCCCTTGTTGGAGTGTACTGAAGTGCCCTCAAAAAATCAGCCATCAAATGCTTGCTATCTCTCTCTGTTATATATATATAGATGTATTAAAGTGTGGCCTCATGAAGGTTTTCCGCCTCTATCTGTGCCGCCCCATGGTGTTTATGTATAGCTTCGGCTCGGTATCGTTTGGGGTTGGGCTAAAGGGAAAGGAAGGCCACGCTTTTGGACCCTCAAAGAATAAGCAAAACACTATTTACTATCTCTATATCTTTCATTATGCCTACGATTCATCACCTGATGAAGTTTTGCCAACAACAAGTACCATGTTGTTCATTTGTATTTTGGGCTCGGTACCGTTTGGGGTTGGGCTAAAGGGAAAGGAAGGCCACGCTTTTGGACCCTCAAAGAATAAGCAAAACAATATGTACTATCTCTATATCTTTCATTATGCCTACGATTCATCACCTGATGAAGTTTTGCCAAACACACATATTCTAACTGTGCCACCCCATGGTGTTCATGCATATTTTGGGCTCGGTACCGTTTGGGGTTGGGTCAAAGGGAAAGGAAGGCCACCCCTTGTTGGAGTGTACTGAAGTGCCCTTAAAAAATAAGCCATCCAATGCTTGCTATCTCTCTCTGTTATATATATATATATATATATATATATTCAAGTGTGGCCTGATGAAGGTTTTCCGGCCCAAAAACACATATTCTATCTGTGCCTCCCCATGGTGTTTATGTGTAGCTTCGGCTCGGTATCGTTTGGGGTTGGGCTAAAGGGAAAGGAAGGCCACGCTTTTGCACCCTCAAAGAATAACCAAATCACTATTTACTATCCCTATATCTTTCATTATGCCTACGATTCATCACCTGATGAAGTGTTGCCAAAAACAAGTACCATGGTGTTCATTTGTATTTTGGGCTCGGTACCGTTTGGGGTTGGGCTAAAGGGAAAGGAAGGCCACGCTTTTGGACCCTCAAAGAATAAGCAAAACAATATTTACTATCTCGAAATCTTTCATTATGCCTACGATTCATCACCTGATGAAGTTTTGCCAAAAACAAGTATTCTAACTGTGCCACCCCATGGTGTTCATGCATATTTTGGGCTCGGTACCGTTTGGGGTTGGGCTAAAGGGAAAGGAAGGCCACGCTTTTGGACCCTCAAAGAATAAGCAAAACAATATTTATCTCTATATCTTTCATTATGCCTACGATTCATCACCTGATGAAGTTTTGCCAAACACAAATATTCTAACAGTGCCACCCCATGGTGTTCATTTGTATTTTGGGCTCGGTACCGTTTGGGGTTGGGCTAAAGGGAAAGGAAGGCCACGCTTTTGGACCCTCAAAGAATAAGCAAATCAATATTTACTATCTCTATATCTTTCATTATGCCTACGATTCATCACCTGATGAAGTTTTGCCAAAAACAAGTACCATGGTGTTCATTTGTATTTTGGCTCGGTACCGTTTGGGGTTGGGCTAAAGGGAAAGGAAGGCCACGCTTTTGGACCCTCAAAGAATAAGCAAAACAATATTTACTATCTCGAAATCTTTCATTATGCCTACGGTTCATCACCTGATGAAGTTTTGCCAAGAACGAGTATTCTAACTGTGCGCCCCCATGGTGTTCATGCATATTTTGGGCTCGGTGCCGTTTGTGGTTGGGTTAAAGGGAAAGGAAGGCCACCCCTTGTTGGAATATACTGGGGTACCCTCAAAAATAGGCAATCCAATATTTACTATCTCTATATTTAGTAATTTATCACCCCCCAAAAGGTGTTCATGAATATTTTGGGCTCGGTACCGTTTGAGTCTCTGGAGAATTTGCTGTATATGAAATATTCTATCTGTTTGTGGGAGAGGGGCATGGCCCGTCGGGCTGAGCATTTGAGCTCCGAAAAAGTAAATGCGTGTGTCTTTCTTAGGGGGACCCCTCAAAACGGTTGGTTTCCGTTTGGTTTTGCATATACCCTTGAAAGAGAGACGGACCCAAATGGAAAATCATGGGACCCACAGCCACATGGTTTGCTGAAAGCCGTACATAGAAACATCTAGCAACAGGCTAGCAGCTAGGACATTTATCGCAGAGTAGTTGTTCATTGCAGAAACCCTTATTTTGAAATATTCTATCTGTCTGTGGGAGAGGGGCATGGCCTGTCGGGCTGAGCATTTGAGCTCCAAAAAATGGAGAAGCCATGCATCATTCCTTTGGCAAATGCGTGTCTTTCTTTGAGGGGACCCCTCAAAACGGTTGGTTTCCATTTGGTTTTGCATATACCCTTGAAAGAGAGACGGACCCAAATGGAAAATCATGGGACCCACATGGTTTGCTGAAAGCCGTATATATATATATATGTATATTAACATCTAGCAACGGGCTAGCAGCTAGGACATTTATCGCAGAGTAGTTGTTCATAGCAGAAACCCCTATTTTGAAATATTCTATCTGTTGTTTTCTTATTTTGAAATATTCTATCTGTTGTCTTCTTTTTGGTTGAAATATTCTATCTTCATTTTTTGTTTATTCTAACTGACTTTTTTCCTATTTATTCTAACTCATTTTTTGATAGACTTTTGAAATGTGCATTTTCATTTACTCTAAAAAATATATTCTAACTGCTAGCCCGATACTATAGCACATCAGTGTATCTTGTTTGAGAGTGCCTCTTTGCGGATGTTTATTTCTTTGTATGTATACATACAGGGAATGCAAAGTGCAATCAGCCTTTTCGGGGCTCGCTTGGAGGCAAAACCAGCACATCAACCTTCGTATCATCGCCACTTCGCTGAGCCGCCCGGAAGAAGGAGGTGTCCACTAGCTGCATCTGCACCTGGAGGGGAAGAAAGGGATACCCGTTCGATTCTTTGCATGGGGTTGCTTGGAACATCCTTTAGCAGGGGAAGAAAAACAGCCTTTGCTTGAGGTGCCTGTTTAAATAGAATGACCACGATTGCAACGATTTCCAAGGGACTTGTCTGGGATTACTCTAGATCTCCTCTCTCTCGTTGCTTGAGTTTTGGTCAAATCTCTCTCTCTCTCTCGTTGTTTGAGCTTTGTCAAATCACCCATGTGATTTTTGTCCAGCTTCCAACCTCCCCTGCAACCCCTCCGTCAAAAACGGGGCCACTGCTGTTGGTTCCCGCCAACAATTCCCCCAGGCACCGCCCCGGTGAAGACCACCAGCAGGTACGAGATGAAGACGAAGCCGAAGTGCAGGAAGTGCCGGGACGGCATGTCCGAGAAGATCCTGGGACCCAAACCCGCGACTTAGCCAACGGCACCTAGGCACTGGACCATTTTTTACAAATCAAAACAGCTTTGTAAAAGCGCTGGGTCCGAGCCGTTTGTAAAGTAATGCGCTTATGTTGGTAGCTTCACGTGGGCTTCCTGTGAAAGAAGTCTAGAACAAGGCCCCTAGTTCTGCCGCACGGCTATGTCTGAAATATGACAGCTAAACCACTTGCCACAGCATCAACAGTATCCGCCCAGGCAACTTGTGCCATTGCTAGATGCCTCTTAAACACAGGTGCCCTGATTGGGACAACCTGCAGCCCCCCCTCCCCGCACCAACCGTAGTTCCATTACAGTCCCTCATCAACCAGCTGTGGGGACTATTTGGGCTCCTGCACTTGTCCCCGCCAAGATGCCCAAGCCCACGCTCAACCCAGCATTCAAATCCACCCCCAGCCCCCTCAAGCTGCTCCAGCCCCAAGCCCCACCCCCCCGCTCAAACCCTAGCCCCACCTCTCCCGGGTTGCCCACTCGGCCGAGCCGCGACACAACGATGCTGATGCCCATGAAGGTCTCCTTTGGCCGAGCGACCATCACATCGAGCTGACAGTCGGGCTTTCCGCAGCTTCATTGTAGCTGCATACAAACCCAGATGCTCAAAGCTAATGGGCAGTATGGGCAGTATGGGGCAGGAATGAGCTCCTTTCTACAACGACACTGCAAAAACAGCACAGCCCCAGCATTGGCTTGTCTCCAAATGCGGGACTTCAACCGATCAACAAGATCCCAACTTTTCAGACCAGCTCACAAACATCCGAAGGGTTTCGACTTGTTGGTGTAGAAGCCGGTCCAACTGCTACGCTGGCCCCAAACAAGAACACGGGCAAAGAATTGGCTTGGGGCAGAGGGAATCGAAACACAATTGGTCGTCAACCAAAACCAAGGAAACAAAAACAAAAAAGAGCGCGTCATGCATGGCCAAAAGCGGCTGCCATTTTGTGATATGGCCTCACTTTGGCTGACGTAGCAATCCCTATTTAGCCGCCCACCATGGTGTGCCTTTTAACACAAAAAAGGGGCAGGGACATGCCCACCTCACGTAGTCCAGTTCTGAGTTCGAAAAGTCCTTCTCAGTCTGGGGTTGCTTTAAGTTGGCCTGCCATGCTGTCCCAAAAGTGAACCACCTCTCTTGGGGAAGTTGTGGCTCGCCATGTGGGTGTTGCCACAATCATGGTCCCCCATCCATGTCGTTGATGTGGGCTTGGCTTCCCTTAGCCCATTCAGAAGAGGCAGACCTCATGCACAGTTCTTGCAACCCCAACCTTATCGCAGCACCGTATCACTCAAAGAACCTGATGGCCCAAACCAGCGAAATGTACAATGAGTCGTTTGTGAGTTGGCCCCGCTGTTGTTTTGTTCAGTGAGTGGAGAAATAGTAATCTTCCAAAGGGTAAACATGAACAGACTACAGCCGAACCACAAACACAAACCTAAGCAACAACTTGCAGGGCATGCGCAACAGCCACAAGTGTCCTTGCCTTGATGCTGGAGCCAAAGGGGAGGTGCTGGGCCTGACTTCCAGCGCAAAGTGGGAGAACGGGCGGCGGAGTAAAAAGAACCCTGCTCTCTGCACACTGTCACTTTGTTTTGGATCAAAAAACTTGGGCTTCCTTTGGGGAACTTCAACACATTGAGGCCTAGGAGACAAAAAGGTTCGAATTTCGAAACTCTGGGCCCAGACCTCGCAGGATGAGCTAAGGCAAGACTGCAGGACCCCCTGTCCACTGCCGTGCTACATCCTGCACCTATGGACGCGCCCCGTCGAGGAAGGGCCCATCATAATATGGACCCCTGTGCGTGGTTTGCCTTACAAAGCCCTACAAGTAAGGGCAGCTGAAGCAAGTCGAAAATGCTGCGCACCTGTGCCAAGAGGTCGGAGCCCTGCATGAACTCGTCATTGGTTATCAACATCTTCCTGCAAATGGGACAGCCTTCACACAGGTTGGCGTCTCCTGGTTCCCCTCTGAGCACCATGATAAACAGTGCCCACTCCGACCCTCTGACAACGCAAGTCTCACAGGGCGATCGAGCTGGCCATTGTTCGAACTCCGCCACCAAACGGAGTGGGTTTCAACAGTGACCGGCTGTTGCCCCCTCATCCACGCATATGTAGCGAACCTCAACAAAATGGTTGGCTTCGTTTTGGCCATCCGCAACAGCCATCCAAACGGGGCCTGTTAGCACACATCCAAATGGTCACAAATCCAGACTTCCAGAATGGTGTTTCCCGCCCCTAGAAGACGCTTCCTGGCCTCACCAAAGCACATGTGGGTGATTATCTGCATATGATCTGAGTGCCTCATGGGAACACCCTAGCTGACAAATTGCTTCTACAGGGCTCCCGTATTTTCCGATAAAGGAAACTCGCTTTAAAACTGCGGCCACAGTGGGTCTCTCTTAAAATTGGGGTCCTTGCCCAGGCCTTCCTGACTTTTTGGTGGTGAGCTTTCAAAAGGAAACACGCATGAAGCATCAAGCCAAAAGCCGTAAGGGAGGAGGAATCACATCCTGGGCCAACCGCCAAGAATCTGATCTGTGGCGCATATCTCTGCATTCGTGATGGACCGCTCAGAAAGGGGTTGTCTCAAAACGGAGGAACCGCATTTCAATGGGTGCTCTCCTATAAACAAAAGCAAAAGGGCACCCGCAAAAAGAGACGCACCCAAACAGGTCCAAGAATCTCAAAAGCCTCTGTCAAATGGAAGACTCCCTTCTAAAAAACAAGAAATGCTTAGATGGACGGGCAAAATATGCCGCCGAGCACGTCCCTTGCTCGTCCCTTGCTCCTGCGCCGTGGGTACGGGGACTTCGGCTTCGTCGGGCTCTCCTCCAGGCGCAGAGCTTCGGTGTCCTTCGGGCAGGGAAAAACCAGGAACAAGAACCCCAAGAACCCCAAGAACTCGCGAGCTCGTGAAGGACCCTCCCGTTTTTGGAGCTTCAACTTCAAAGGGAGCCATGCTAACGAGGGAGCCATGGCCGAAAAAGCCCGAGATCGTTCGCCAACTGACAAGACGGTCAAATTTTGAGCAAGTGAGCCAAGCGCCAGTGCTACTGTGGACCATCAGGATCCCAATGGTTGCCTCTCTTCTTTGACCCCTCGAGTGGCTGGACATAAATCGCCCATGTTTTTGAGGATTTCCACCAAAGGGGCGCAAAAAGCTAAAGTTCATACCCAAACGATTCAAACAGTGCTGATGCCCATCTTCTTTCCAACAAAAAACAATCGTGGAATGGAGAGGAGGGCTTTGCAAGACTGTCAGCATCTCAAGAAGGCCTGTCCACTTTCATGACTGTTGGAATCTGGCAACTTCCAGCATTGCCTTTATTGTCAACCCCTGATTCATCAAGCCCTGGTCCACTCATCAGGGCCTTTTCATGCAGGCTCGCCTTTCTCTGCCTACAAGTCGACTCTTGGGACAGAGGTCATCTGGCAGCAGCCTTTGAACCACCCTCAAGCCGTTCGCCTGCATACCCTGAAAGCTGACATGGAAACTTGTTGGGAATTGCCGCCCCGTCCTCGCCCAACACGCCTGGCGAGTCATCGCCTGGGTATCAAGGGAGTCTACAGTCCGGCTTTAAAGCGTGCTCTCATGGTTGTTTAAGGGGAAGGGAAGGGAGGGAAGGGAGGAAAGCGAGGAAAGGGAGGGAAGGGAGGGAAGGGAGGGGAGGGAGGGAAGGGAGGGAAGGGAGGGGGAAGGGGGAAGGGGGAGGGAAGGGAGGGAGAGGGAAGGAAGGGAAGGGAGGCAAGGGAGGGAAGGGAGGGAACGGAGGCAAGGGAGGGAGAGGGAAGGGGGAGGGAGAGGGAAGGGGGAGGGAAGGGAGGGAGAGGGAAGGGAGGGAAGGGAGGAAGAGGGAAGGGGGAGGGAAGGGAGGGAGAGGGAAGGGAGGGAGAGGGAAGGGAGGGAAGGGAGGGAAGGGAGGGAAGGGAGGGAAGGGAGGGAAGGGAGGGAAGGAGGGAAGGAGGGAAGGGAGGGGGAGGGAAGGGAGGGAAGGGAGGGAAGGGAGGGAAGGGAGGGAAGGGAGGGAAGGGAGGGAAGGGAGGGAAGGGAGGGAAGGGAGGCAAGAGAGGCAAGGGAGGGAAGGAAGGGAGAGGGAAGGGAGGGAAGGGAGGGAACGGAGGCAAGGGAGGCAAGGGAGGCAAAAAAAAGAAAGGAAGGGAGGAAAGGGAGGGAAGGGACGGGAGGGAGGGAGAGAAGGGAGGGAAAGGAGGGAAGGGACGGGAGGGAGGGAGGGAGGGAGGGAGGGAAGGGAGGGAAGGGAGGGAAACGAGGGAAGGGACGGGAGGGAGGGAGGGAAGGGAGGGAAGGGAGGGAAGGGAAGGGAGGGAAGGGAGGGAAGGGAGGGAAGGGAGGGAAGGGAGGGAAGGGAGGGAAGGGAGGGAAGGGAGGGAAGGGAGGGAAGGGAGGGAAGGGAGGGAGAGGGAGAGAGGGAGCGACGGAGCCATGCTCCCAAGCAATGTCTCGCTCTTTGGCCCATTCGGCATTCGGGCACCCGGCCGTTGGTCGGCAGGGCACTGTACACCGACCTCAGCACAAAGACGGGAATGTTTATCTCCGCAGACAGAAATGGGGAACGGGGAAAGCTGTGTGCCCCTCCTGTTTGTGATGTTCGTGGGAAGTTGACAGGTGTTTCCCTGGATCCACTTTGTTGAGGTGAATGTCCCGTTGGCAACCATAAGTTGGCAAGGTTGAGGTGTCTCGTTCATCTCCCCAATACGAAGCAGGCGCCCAAGGCGAAGAGCGAGCTGTTGTTGTGAGGGGAGTACAAGGTGAGAATTACTGGCAGCTCAGGGCTTTCTGTGGACCTTTGCGCATGCGCCACATGCCAGGCACGGCGGTTGCTTTTCTTTCTGCACCGACGGACTAACAGAAGGACTAAAAATTCTGCTCGGAGCAAGCTGAGCCCCGGCAAGAAGGCATCGTTGAGCCTTTTGCTTGGCGGCCCTTAATGGGGGATCGCGCAAACAGGGTGTTTCCCGGGCAATTTCGGGCGGTTTTGAAATAATGGTTGGCACACACCTCTCAGCACATCCGGTTCTCAGGCCGTTTTGGGCTGCTGTGTTTCTGCCTGAAACTGCCTGAAATCCAAACCCGTTGCGGCGTCCCCCGTTAAGGACTCTTTGATTTTGCGGGCCAAACTGAGACTCTGAATCTGGCAGCATGGTCGCTTCCCTGCCAGCGCTAAAGAAGAAACGCAGCAGAGTTCAAAGTGAGTCCTTTGCGTTGGCCAGGCAAGAAGGCAGGCTTGGCCAGCCAAACTGTTCGAAGTTACCTCCTAGTGCCGAAGCGGTCTTGCCAAAAAGCAAAGGTGACACAACCAAAGCTTGGTCGAAGTGACTTTGAAGGCGTTGGCAAGACCGCGGCCTCAGGCGTTCAGAACTCACAGCCAAGAGCGGCGACCAATGTCAGCCAAGTCTGAAGCTAACTATGCTCTGGCGCAGGCATTAGACGCAGCTCATCAAATTGCACGGTCCACCAACAAGGTTATATGAGTCACAGTGAACACAGTGTACGTTTCTGCAAGAGGTGTTTCATGACGAGCTTTAGGGCCTTCACGGACAACATGGAATGTGATGTGCCACAAGTGAAACAAGCCTGGCCTCTCTCAGCTGATCTACGGTGCGCCAAATCTCAGGCGTCATCCCGGCAAGCTGACGGCCCAGAAGCCTTTGGATTGGACCAAAACGCCTGCCCTGTGGTAGATCTGACCGACAAGTCACTTGATGTGCCGGTTCTGCACCTGGCCTGGCTGAAGCTTGAAAGCTTTCGTGCTCGTCCTGGAGGGGTGGGCCAACCTCGTTAAACACGTTTATCCCACCATTGTTCAGATTCTGCTCAGATAGCCTCCTTTTGGGTTCCCTTCAAAAGCGACCAGGGGCTGGTTGTTTAAACCAGTTTTGCCCAACCCTGACCTGGAGGGGATGCGTTGCTGCCAAAGTGCTTGCACCAGGGCGCGAAGCGAGTGCGGATTCTCCAGGGTAACGAAGGCATAGCCACAATTGCGACCACTCCCGTTCAAGGGCAGGGACAGGTGGAAAGCAGATGAAGTGAGCGTCTGGAGGTAGCATGCTAGTTCTTCGTAAGAGGCCCGCGCTGGAAGATTGCGAATCATGATCTTCTTCACATCTTGCCAAGCAGGATGATCTGCATGGTACCCATACTGGTCATGAACCTCATCGCCTGGTACTTCCTCCGGCAACTGCACACTGACAGCCTTTGGCTCCGCGCTTGCCTTGTTCTGCAAAGCGCTGAGCAGTGCAGGAGATGACTGGGTGCGAGGAACGTGCACTTCAGCCGGCACCAGCTCCACAAATGTGCGAAAGATTCGCACGTGCATAGATGGATCGAGAACAAACTCCATCTCTCACCAAGCTAGTTTTGGCCACAGCGAGTGCAATGGTTCGGGCAGCTTGAACAGCTGTGCATGCTGCGACAAGGCACCGTGATCAACTTTGCCCCAGTCCACGCAGCATGACAAGAAATGCATCCTAGTCCTTTCAACGCATACCTCTGAAAAAGTCAGGGACCCGCATTTGGCTCGGCAAGGCTTGCTAAGCCCCAACCATTGGATGGTTCTTCTGGAGTTGCTCTGCGGCGTGGGGTTCCTCCGCAAACGGAAAAACAATCGGGCGTCATGCATCCTGAGTGACAATTTATTGTGCAAGGTGTGAACCACGCAGCTCGACTTGGCAGTACCTGCTGTGCGCTTCCATGTTGAGAGTCGCCGAGTTGGCCTTAGACTCGCTGGAGTTAAACTTTTGGCTGGTGCGGGCAAGAGGCATTTTGCAACAGGTTCAGGCTACGGGTCGTGCCAAAGCGCCAATTTCAGGGGGTGCTGCCTGTCGTCTCCCAGGGATCCCGGGCGATGCCGGAAAGCGCGGCTCCAGCATAGCGCCGAGCGGAGGGTGAGAAGGGCACCCCTTTCAAGGCACTTGGCTGATGACATTCTCCAGAACGGGGAACCTCCAAGTTGGTTTCCCTTTGGTTTCCGCTTACAATCCAAAGAAGGGAAGGCAACTGTGTGCGTTCAAATGTCCGTTGAGACCGACACACAAAACATCAATTCTCACACATCCCCAAACTTTCAAGCTGGTTCCGTCCGGCTGAACAGTTCACTGTCCAAACGAGCTTGGGCAAACAAAGCACTTGTGAAGCGTCAGGCTCACTAAACCGCCAGCCCTTTCCGTGGTGCAAACAGGCTGGTGTCTTTTGCGTCGGGGGGCATCACATCGATCAGTCTTAGGTCAGTGAAGCTGAGCCACAAGCGCAGCTTTGGGGAGTGACTGCTGTCCACGCATAGCTACGCCCTACGCCTAAGGCGGCATCAAACAAATGGCCAGCAAACTAAGCCTCAAGCCTCAAGCTAGATGCCAGCCGCACCTCTTTTCGCTATGCCTGCAGAAACAGCAGGTGAGCCCAAAGGCCAAGCTAAGCCGTTCAGGGGAACAGGACACTTTCGCGCGCTCAGGCGCTCGAAGGCGGCCTTGGGGCAAAGTGCTTGGTTTTTTCGGACCGATGCCACGTGCATCCCCAGGCCCCCTGGAACATGTGTGCGGTGAAACGAAGTCCGAACGCTTCGGGCTCTCAGCTGCCACAAGCAAGTGGCCTGGAAGAGTGGCTCGTGCGGGAAGATCCACAAACAGGAGGAGGAAATTTGCTGCACGGGACATGAGGCAAGAAGGCGGCAGAGCAGGGATGAAAGCTCTCAGGACCTACATGCAAGAACGATCACCACCACTTGTTCAAGTGGGTTCGAATGGCTGAACAACGCTGTCAGGATCTATTGTGGAAACTCAGCGCCATCCCACGGGTACATAATCAAACATTGGCATATCGACCGAGAAGCTCAAACAACACAGCACCGCGTTGATCAAGACCAACCCACAATGGACACAATATGGCACTTGGGAACCCGCAACCCGCCTTCACTTGGATCCGTCTCCCAGACCTGAAGACCGGTTTTCAAGCGAGCGGGGCAGGCTGACATCAAAAATAAAGGGCCATAAAACTGCAGCAAGCATGCGTCTCCCATGATCGCGTCAATTTGGTTCAAGACCGGGCAAACTCATTCATTTGGGTCTTGAAGTACGGCCCAACCCAGTGATGTTTGCCCTCCCCCACATGAGCAAGGCAGTTTCTAGTGCCTGGCAATTGTCATGCAAACCACTTGCTCCAGGCACTTGAAGGCGAATCTGCCATCAACTGGGCTGCCTTATGGCTTTGTCTTGAGGGTTCCCTTTTTGCGGGTGTGGTGAAGGGAAACCAAAAGGAAAGCCACCATTTTGGGGTGTACTCCCTATTTTGAGACACACCCCTAAGTTCTGTCTTCCAAGTGGATCAAAATGAGGCCAACATCTCCTGGGATCTACTCCCACTTGAGTGGCCAAGGA